AACCCATAAGTTTTAGTGACACTCAATACTGAATGACAAAAGACTATTCAATTGTAGCTTTTCAAAAAATAGCCATTGGTAAGAGATTTGTTAAAACTTGTTACAAAAATAATCTAATCCTAGTTGGAAAATAAACAAAATTGTGAAGATGAAGAAAAATTAAGCTATTTCCAACAAATTGTTTTGTTATAACGCATAAAAAAATAATAAAAATCATCATGAAAAGAGATGCATAGATGCAATTTTTTATTCAAGACCAGTGTAGTCTTTGGTTTACAATTGGTTAAGTACCATTGCTGGGAATAAACTGTCAGCTCAATAATTGAAAAAAAGAAAAAAAAGGTTTTAAGACTTTTACTAGTTATTAGTTTAATATTTGCTATTGATGTCTAATGGTCTTATTAACATTATCATTTTTATGCTGTTTAATGCATAAGTTTTTCCATTCTTATGTATCTGTTCCAAAATATAAGATCAACTAGCACTTGTTCTGAAATCCAAGATTTTACATTTTTTAATAGTCAAACTTTACAAGTGTGCCCACTGAACTTTCCTGTTTACATTTATAACACTAAGAAAAAAAGAATACTTGAATTCAATTTTTTTTAAATGCTGGACAAAAATAGGGGGGTAACGAAGAGCTTTAAATTTTTTGAAAAATTTTACATGGCTCAAGAATTAAAAGTAAATGATGGAGTTTTGCAGACATGTTCTAGTGGTTCAGGATAAAGAAAAACGTTTGTAATTCTGGAAACAAATTAATAAGCATGCATATTTTGTGCATAAATCACATGAACAGATAAGACAACAGTTGTTTTATTTCTTCTTTTCCTTTTTTTACTACAAAACTACCATTTTGTCTGATAATACTGAAAATTCCAGTTCTCCTCTTCAATATTCACAAGCAGTTCACTTTATAATAAATACTCGTTAAACGAGAGAGAGAGAGAGAATGGTATAGGAGTGAAGATAAAATGTTCTTTGTGTTTAGCTAACATAAAAAACATTTGCCTCATTACTTTTTTTTTAAAGATCTCTTTCAAATATGTTAGAGGCATTAACTTAAATAAAATGGGTCTAAAACTTTTGATAATTAAAATACATATATAAAGTACACAATTTTTACACATAAATTTTGACCAGTAATTGAATTAAAAACTGTAAGATTTAAAAGTTCAAATAAGCATGTACCAACCTTCATGTCCCAAATGACCATTTTACCGTCCACACCGGTTGTGCAGAACTTTGTAATTCCCGTTTTGTTTCCAGAATAGATAGTTATATGTGTCACTGCATTTTGATGTACACTATCTAAAATAGTGTCACTGATGTTATCGTTTACACCACGCATGTCCATGTTTCGGAACTTTCTCATGGCGCTGCAAGACACAGAATAATGCTTTGTTTATTATCACTGCACCCCCCAAATTTTACTGTAGTTCACCCAAGTTCTTTCTCACAGTGATTTAAAAAATCATATTATCAATTTTAAAAACAGTATGATTTTTTTTAAATTGTTAAGAAAAGTTAAGAAAGCTCCACTGCCCCCCCCCCAAAGGGAGGGAAGCTGGAGCCAGGCCTGTATCACATTAATTATATTGATACTGATTTATTACTACTGCAATGAATAATTTACAAAAATTTTAAGAATGCACATAAACCGAACATATTATTTTACACTAAAACAATAATACAGATGGCAAATATCTTACCTAAATCCATCTACTTCCTGCTTTTGAGACTTGTCCAATTTGTCAACAAATCTCAACTGAATTTCACTGTCACATCGAAACAGCATAGGACAACAGTCATAGCCCTAATCAGATAGAAATTAAACAAACAGATATGTATTTTTGATATGAAATACTGTCTTTGGAAACAGAAATTAGAAGACTATTTTAAAAAAAAAACAAGAAAAACTGAACAATCAGTAAACCAACCGTTTCTTCAGCATAATTATAATATAACGCCTTTAGTGTAAGTACAAGACAAATTTGTACAAAAAAAACACTCATTTTGAGCATATACAACAGCACAAATAACTTAATTATCATTCACATCAATATTTTTACAACATCAGCAATTACTTAAAAATTGCTTAAATCTAAAATAAATTAATATCGTCACTGCTAAGAAGGGTTTTAATGTGTATAGTTTAATCCTACGCGTTCAACAATTCTAGTCATTTTATTTAACAAAAGGGAACAATTTATACTATTATAGAGCATAACATGTATTCATAATGAATAAAAAGTTCTAGCTTGGAATATTGTTTTACCCAATGAAATTATACTCATCCAAAATGTTTTTATATTTTCGTATGCCATAATGATCCATTTGAATAAATATGGACTCAAGTCAAAGGTCTGTCTTTGTGGTCATTCACTTTTAGAAAATATAATAAGGGAAAAGATGACCAACAGGAATAACCAGTGAGTATTGACCACATGCATGGGTGTGGTCCAACATATTAACCAAAAATGATGAAGGTGAGGAAAATTTGACACAGCTGGAACAGTTTGAAATCGTATGGATACACAGGTTTCTGGCATTCTTAGATTTCTTGATAGAATTGTAAAATAAATCCATCTCTAAACTTTGGATTGACAGACCTGAGGGAAGGCAGTTACTTAGTTAACAACATCGACCAATAACTCTCGTGCTACTCTTATCAGACCAAACAGTGTTATTTAACCGTCATTCATAGTACACCTATCGTCCCAAAGTCAGAAACATGTTCTTGCAACAATAAGCTACGTAACACGAACTCATGGATTAACACATTAACTAACCACTAGGTCATGCCCGGACCATTTTAACATAAATCAGTGAATGATATATTACATAAAATTTGATTTTTAGTGTATATTAGGTATAAAGAATAAAACCAAGCTGGCCAAGAACGATTCAGGATTAGCATTTGTGAATTTAAAAGTTATATTTATGAAAAATCAATAAGGAAGAAATTTTATGAAATCATATTATTCTGAATAATTTACGACCACATGATCAACATGTGAACAGAAAGGTGATAAGCATTCATGTAGCTCTATATTTTGCATAAGAATGAATTAAGTAATACTGCATAACTTATGAGAACTACTTTTTCTTTGAAAGAATTAAGTGGAGCTAATTGTCAAAGGTAGGGCCGGCATGGCCAGGTGGTTAGGGCGCTCGACTCATAATCTGAGGGTCGCGGGTTCGAATCTCCATCACACCAAACATGCCAACCTCCGCCTTTGCCTCGTCCCAAGTCCAGGATGAGAAGGGGGGGGGGGGGTTGGTCGCGGGGCTAGCAACTCCACCCCGTAAAAAAACAAGTAACTGCAACCACACCCACCGTTGGCGAGGTGTTGTTACGACCCTATGCTCCACTGGGAGTTTACAGGAATTAAAAAAAAAATTTGAAATCAAAGCATACTACTAATTTATTTCACACACGATACGCAGCTTTTCAAAGACATCTTGCAGACACACACACACACACTTATACATGTGCAAAAGGGTGTAACGATACTTTTTGCTAGTTTCACATTTTGAAAAGTGTATTTTAGTTTGTGGCAATATCACATTCAGTTCTAGATTCTGATATTTTTCAAACATGAAATAATACAATACTTTTAAACATATAAAACGAACTTAAACTTTAATTTCATGTCAAAATTGAAGCAAGATAGTTTTTAACACATTCTTAAAACTTCCTTCACCTCTACTAGGAACAGGTCTATAATTCTAGTGTTAGTGACATCTCAAATAAATTAAACAACCTTCAAGAGCCATGATTAATTTCTCCAACTTAACTGTTTAGCTTTTAGGTCATTTCTCATTTAGCATTCAACTAGAGGAATATTCATTAATTGCTACAGCTAGAGCCCTTTACATCTATTTTCTTCTTTATCCAAAGAGTTTCTATGCCATTTATTACTGTTCCAGGTGGCCAAATATTATTTGTATTTTAGTATATGTATTTGAAAGGTTTGTTTTTGAAAAAAGGTGGTCAAAGAAAAAGATACACTGCAGATTTAACGGCAATAGAAAAAGAAACATTTACAACAGGTTTAATGCAAAATATGGATTGTTTAAAATTTGTATCATTTTTAGTTCATACCAAATATGACAGCATAGCTACTTAGCAAGAATAAAGAAATACAATTACTTTGTAACTAATGGTAAAAAAAAATTCATAATAGTTATTTGTCCAGAACTCAAGAAAAATAAACAACAATGACACTTGATTGATTATGTCATGTTTCATCAAAAAATGTAGCATCACTGTATCAATCATGTGATTTTATTTACCCTGCACTCCCACGTAAAAAGTTTTAAATACAAACAAACTAAACTGCATACATAAATCTTCATGAAATCAGAACAGTTTGTTTGTTTGAATTATGCACAAAGCTACACAAGGGCTATCTGTGCTCTGCCCACCACGGGTATCGAAACCCGGTTTCTAGCGTTGAAAGTCCGTAGACATACCGCTGTGCCACTGGGGGGCGAAATCAGAACAGAATATACAAAAAGTTATTTTCTTTAATATTCCCAAAATATATCTGTGGATACTAATTATGTGAGTTATTACTTCAGAAAGTAGAGAGAGAAAATTAGGAATTTTTTTGTTAAACCTCAAAGTGTTTAAATATACAGCAAGTTAAACCTGAACATTTCAATATTCTTAAATTTTTTTCAACTGATATAAAACAAGTTTATATTAAAAAGATAAAATTAGTCCTTGCATTAACCTCTAAAGAACTAAAATATCCATCATCTCTCAAACGAATTAAAGACATGCATTTTATTAAAATTCTCTGTTCCTTTCATAACAATCTTCCTTATTTCCTACAATTATCATGGAATTATTTAACCTTCTCTTATACACTAGGCTAACTTAAGTAACCTAATCCTACTTACATCTTAATCATACCTAACCACTAAAGAGCAATTTAAGAATATAACAGCCTGCTTAGGGGAGAAAACCAATATTTTCATCACAGCTCAATGTAATCTTGGAATAAGGAAGAAAGAAAGGAAGCACAAGGTAGTTGTAAAGACTTGTTGAATTCAATTTATATGCCAAAATAAAATGTCAGTGTTATCCGACATGTCTCTCTCATCACTACAAACTAGAATAGAAGTACTGAAAAAGAGATAATGTTCAGAATTTATCCTGGCCAATTTTAAAAAAAAAAAGTTGGAAATTTCCCTGTAATATCATTAAGAGCCGCAATAAAAACAATTATATTAAAAATACATACTAAAGATGAAAACGTGACTTTCTTCCAAATGCATACTGGTGATATGGAGGACCATCTGGCTCCACAGTTCAGTTTAACAGTAGGAATTAAATCACAAAATTTGACAGAAATGCATAGGTAAGACGTAAAAACATATATAACGTAAGAGTTAATGTCATATACTTCATGTAAGTAGATGCAGTAATTAGAAATAAACATTACTTTTCATGCAAATTTATAACTGAGAATGCTGTATACATCCTAAGTACTCTTTGAATTAAGTGTACTTGGTAAAGATTTCAGGCCTGCAATACATTTGTTACATTACAAAACAAAGACCTACAGATATTGCTGTAAGACTTGTTGCTCAGAGTTATATACTACTATAACCAAACATAATAAATAAATTACATAACCTTACAGCAGCTAAAATTGTAGTCGGTGAAGCCCACAAACATGTCAGGTATGGAAGGAACTGCGTCTTTATAGAGGAAAACCTTTCAATGATAAGGAAAAAAAAGAGATTTTACCATTTCATTAATTCAAAAAAATATGTTAAATTTAAGAAAAATGTATATTAACCCTTTATCATCTCCACCCATACATTTACTTCAATTCTGGTAATGTAAAAACCCTTCCACGGATTATATAGGGGTTAAAAAAAAACATTACAGAACTGATGTTACCAATATGACAATGTTTTTTTGAGCTACATAATGAGGTATTTGAGCTGTGTCCACCATACATACTGAAATACAAACGTTTAACATCATAAATCCAGAGACTTACCACCGAGCCACTGGGGGGCTTCTATAGGCGAAGAGTACTGCTTAGCAATTAGCAAATATATCAGATGGGAAAAGACATTTTTTTCTTAAACACTGCACCGATTAGAGATTATAACACTGAACATTATAACATGAAGGGTGATTTATTGATAAACTCACACCTTCTAACTTAATAACATATTTTTATGTAATATGTATTTGGATGGTATAAACAAAATTATACTTGCTATTGTAGTAATAGTACATTGCACAAAAGAATAGTATAAACAAAGTTTTACTTGCTATTGTAGTATTTTTAATAGTAATAAATTCTTGTTATAATGTAAAAATAAAATGACAAGAATACTAGACAGATTTTTGACTGTAATGAATGATGTGCATATAAACAGGGATTATTTTAATACATTACAATAAACAAGTAATATAATTTTTAAATACATGATGATAAACTATAATTTTAAAGGATAATAACTTCAGAGCACTCGGTATCAACCATACTATTTGTTATAAATCATGACTTTCATGCAACGTACTATTACTACAATAGCAAGTATAACTTTGTTTATACCATCCTTTCATGCAACGTACTATTACTACAATAGCAAGTATAACTTTGTTTATACCATTCTTTCATGCAACGTAATATTACTACAATAGCAAGTATAACTTTGTTTATACCATCCTTTCATGCAACGTACCATTACTACAATAGCAAGTATAACTTTGTTTATACCATTCTTTTGTGCAATGTACTATTACTACAATAGCAAGTATAACTTTGTTTATACCATTCTTTTGTGCAATGTACTATTACTACAATAGCAAGTATAACTTTGTTTATACCATCCTTTCATGCAACGTACCATTACTACAATAGCAAGTATAACTTTGTTTATACCATTCTTTTGTGCAACGTACTATTACTACAATAGCAAGTATAACTTTGTTTATACCATCCTTTTGTGCAATGTACTATTACTACAATAGCAAGTATAACTTTGTTTATACCATCCTTTCATGCAACGTACTATTACTACAATAGCAAGTACAACTTTGTTTATACCATCCTTTCATGCAACGTAATATTATATGAACATCAATACTCACCCTAGTTCCCTTGTTGCATCAACTACCGAGATACTGCTATTGTGGCCCACCCATGCCAGCCTGTTCCCATCAGCTGAAAAACTAACACTATGAACCCAGCCACCTAAAGAGACAATAAACATACATAGATGATATTAATATTATGTTAAATTACAGGTCACGTTAACTTCTGAGCTACTAACATCTTTTCAAACAATAATGTGACAAGTAACTGTGAATCAATACTATGCAACATTTTCCTACATCACCTGAAATACAATTTATATATTTTTTTAACTTTACAAACAGTTAAAATACGTACAAAAAATATGACTTACTTCCCCCACTTGAAAATTCTGCCATCATATTACCAAGCGGCATTTTAGCTCCCCAAGGAGTTGGTTCTGGTTTCTTTTCTATTTCTTTAATATATGCTGAAAAAATTCTATACAGAAAGGAATAAACACAATTATTTTGAATAAATGTGAGTAAAAATTTCAGAATCAACGTATTTCATATCTAAGTTTGAGGAATGGTTAATGAAAAAAAAACAAACAAAGTGAGATGCTGTAAACAAGATAAGGAATTTTAACAATTCTGAAAATCTGACTGTAGAGAAGTAAATTATGAATATTTCACACATTTGTTTGAACTTGAATAGAATGACAAAATATACAATAAGACCAACTCATGTGTTGTGAGTCGGTATAAAAATATTCTGATAACTTATAACCAGCAAGAACCAAAAAGGAGAGTTCATGCAAGTAAGAACTGACATTGATCTTATAATAGTTACAAAGAAATTTGGAAGAGTCAAAGGCAAAGGTTTAACTTCTTTTAAGATGTTATTTATATTTTATATGTTTCTCAAAGCATTAGATTCATGACTTTGTACATACAACTTTCTAAAACTGTTCCCAGTACCAAACCTTATATAAGACTGGTATTTAACTGTTATTTATTCTGTCTTGTAAACAGCCAAATATCCAAACTGTTACATGTTCTTTTATCTCTTGTAAACAGTCAAATGTCCAAAGTTAACTGTTACTTGTTCTTTTATCTCTTGTAAACAGCCAAATGTCCAAAGTTAACTGTTACTTGTTCTTTTATGTCTTGTAAACAGCCAAATATCCAGAGTTAACTGTTAATTGTTCTTTTATGTCTTGTAAACAGCCAAATGTCCAAAGTTAACTGTTACTTGTTCTTTTATGTCTTGTAAACAGCCAAATATCCAAAGTTAACTGTTACTTGTTCTTTTTTGTCTTGTAAACAACAAAATAACCAAAGTTTACCATGACTTGTTCTTTTCTGTCTTTGTAAACAACAAAATAACCAAAGTTTACTGTGACTTGTTCTTTTCTGTCTTTGTAAACAACAAAATAACCAAAGTTTACTGTGACTTGTTCTTTTCTGTCTTTGTAAACAACAAAATAACCAAAGTTTACTGTGACTTGTTCTTTTCTGTCTTTGTAAACAACAAAATAACCAAAGTTTACTGTGACTTGTTCTTTTCTGTCTTTGTAAACAACAAAATAACCAAAGTTTACCGTGACTTGTTCTTTTCTGTCTTTGTAAACAACAAAATAACTAAAGTTAACTGTTACTTTTTCTATTATGTTTTGATAGATAGATAATGGAATCTTACCTAGCTTTAAAGTCTGTTGATCCACAAGCTAATAAAATATTATTTGGGTGCCAGTCAATACTACAAGGGCAGGAAAAGAAAGTTTCTAGATTTGAAATTCTATACTTGACTGTATTTTACAAATTACAAAAAAAAAGACTTACTACGGAACAGAAAAGAATTATTTATAGAACATTTTATGAAAAGTTATGTTTAAAAAGAAACCACATAACAACCGATATATATTTTTAAGAACCATTGTCCCTTTAATATAATTCATTAAATATTTTTTTTTTGTAAAGCACAAAGCTATCTATGCCAGGTAGAGCTCTGAATTTTAGAGTTACCAGCCCTCATGCTTACAGCTGGGCCACCAGGAGGCACATTGTTTAAAACTTTCCTTTCTTTGGGAGGTATAGATTTATGTTCAGGTATTGCATATTTGAAAGTCAAATGGGCTGAATTAGTTAAATGGATTAATATAATTGCAATATATTAAGTTAGTTTTCTATTAGAATTACATATATACAATATAACTTTTTGTTAGTTTTAAAGGCTCTATGGTGTTTTAATTTTATGCTGATCTTAAGCACAAGGAAACACACAAGGCTTAAGCTTAGACTTTTTGGCATCTAACTGAGAATAATTGACACAGTTAGTGACAATAAAATGGGATTCATTGGTCATTTACAGCACACCTGTTACAATAACACTCACGGTCCTTTACATCACAAAAAAATTAATCGTTACATTGTTGTTCACCTTTATTCAACATTTAATCATCAGTTGTTTCTGCAAATATGTAAAGATTACACAAAATATTTACCAAGCTGTACTTTACACGGAATTTAATATACTACTTAATACTCCTGACCGTCTTCATTAATTACCCGTTTCTTTAAAGATGTTTGTTTTAATTAACATGATAAATTCATCATGTTTAAAGGCTATTAATTACTGGTAAACATTTCAAGGTTACTCGCTGATAGGCATCTCAATCTTATACTTGCCTGTGCTGAAATAATGGTATGTTCTTGTTCATATATGTGCTATGTCAATGTTGATAACCCACTTAGCTGTGTATAAAAAGTACAACTATGAAGCACATATACTACTGATGATCAACGTATAACAAGGTGTTTTGAAACAGGTTTTTTTTTTCTATGTTTATTTTGAATTTCGTGCAAAGCTACACAAAGGCTATCTGAAATAGCTGTCCTAATTTAGCAGCTATAGACTAGAGGTAAGGCAGCTAGTCAACACCACCCACCGCCATCTCTTGAGCAACTCTTTTACCAAAGAACAGTGAGACTGACTGACACATTGTAAGGCTCCCATTAGCTGAAAAGGCGAGCAAGTTCAGAGTGATGGGGTTTCGAACCTGTGACCTGCAGATTGCAAGTCGAGCATCCTAACCACCAGGCCATGCTGGGCCTTGAAATATGTACTGCAGTAGGAATACTAAGCCTATAACATGGTGCTTTGTAACAGGTACTGCAGTAGGAAAGCTAATCCTATAACATGGTGCTTTGAAAACAAGTATTATTGCATCAATACAAAAAAAACAACAACAAATCTTGATGATAAGTATACAGAAAATTATATTTCAAATAATACCTCATTTAGTGATTTAAGTGTTTTGTAAAATTTTTTAATCCATTACAGCAAGGTAATTTTGCTTAAAACAAAATACTACAATCTCAGACCTTGTGACCGTTGATCTAATTGGCTTCTTGATGTGCTTGCTCACCCACCAATCATTGTCTTCCTCAAAATAACACACGGATATCAGCCGAGCTCCGCTGCCTACTGCAAACTTATTTTCTGTTAATGTAAGACATACAGTTACAAACAAGAATCTACGTATAACGTAAGGCTACTTTTATTAAGACAACAAATGACCGTCATGTTTTTCAACATGAAAACAATTATACAGTTCATGTAACAAAACAAAAACAGTGTGTATATATATACCCATAATTATGACCTATATAATTCTTAAATCAGGTTATACATAGATTCAAGTACTTTCAGTGGAAAGTAACAAAAAACAGGAACACTTTCAAGCAGTAACAACAAACCACAAGCAGCACTGAATGAAAAGCAAATAATCACTACATAACTTTCAGAGCAGAGTAGCTTCAATACACGAGGAAAAACTGAAGAGGATCGCCAATACTTGACACGTAAAAGATTCCCACTTTCAACAAATTGTATTAAATGGATTTTATTCCTTTTTATGCATTATCTTCAAACACTAGTTAAAAAAGTGTATTGTAATACAACAAACACTATACGTGAAATTTATAAATACTGTATATGTTAATAAAGGCCATCTTCTAAACCAATTGCTATGATAGTTTTACTCGATCAGAGTGTGTACAACCATGACAAACCACTTGAAGTGGTTTGTTAGGAGCTAATAGTACAAACTTGTTTCATGTTATTTGCAACTGCAAGTTACAAGGATACAGAAAACAGATTTGACTGAAGTCCTTCGAACATTATGCCTTCTTATAATACACAATTTTACCTTTAAAAAATCACATTAAGTTTAAAATCTCGATGGTCACAATATCTGTTAAAACAGCTGAATTTAGACCTGATCATGTTGAGGTTGTCACTGTCAATAACTCAAATACTTTCAAACACACAAGAAGGCAGCCTACAAGGTATGGGTAGGTGGAGATACGTTAAACACAAACCCACGCCATTAGTTCCAGACTGGAGGTCTTAAACACATGAAAACTACATAAGAAGATAAACTCCTAACATTTATCGAGTAGCAAAGCCACATAATAGTAGTAAAACAAAAAGTATGAACAGAAAACAAGGAAGTACACAAGTATTACAAAGACATCAAGTTTGCAATATGAATAACTTATCTTATACGAGTCATCAAGTAGGTTATGCAGAATGATCTCAAAGGAAAAAAAAAAACTCTTATAAAATTCTGCATTAAATCTTTACCAATAGAGAGTTCTTTGCCAAGAAAAGTAATCTGTCAATTAAAAGAAAGACATACAAGTGTCTCTGCTGGTTTCTTAAGAGACTTAATCCCTCTTCTCAAACAAAAACAATATCTACATTACTACTTAGCTAATTCTACAGAGTTCAACCACTTTCAATAGTAGATAAAATTGATTTGAGCACTAAAGTGATATTTCAGAACAGTCCATAACACTTTATTAAGAGAGTGGTGTATCATACATAATTTTGTTACACAAGAAGGAAGTTGAATTCGTTTTCGTTTTCTCCTGGCACCCAAATAACACCCTACTGGATTATACGTATAGTGTAATTCAAACACTTCATACAAAGTATTTGATTATACTTTTAACTTACATTGATCACTAAAAATGGTAAAGATCTTCAATTAAAATACATTCAAATTGTCCCACTAGTTTGGGAACTGAAAGTCACAAACTGTAAGGGATGCTACTGTTACTTGTGCACCTTGTCTTACTAGCTTGGAACTGAAAGTCACAAACTGTAAGGGATGCTACTGTTACTTGTGCACCTTGTCTTACTAGCTTGGAACTGAAAGTCACAAACTGTAAGGGATGCTACTGTTACTTGTGCACCTTGTCTTACTAGCTTGGAACTGAAAGTCACAACTGTAAGGGATGCTACTTTTACTTGTGCACCTTTCATAATAAAACTTTTTATGCAAGGTGGTGGCTATTTTAAACCTAAAAATTACCTAGTGGAGACCACCGTACACAGGTGGCAGCTCTATTGATTCTTAGAAGTACTAAGGTTGGTTTCCATTTTCCATCAACTTGTGTCCAAACATAAGCATTTCTATCCTGTAGACATTAAAAAAAAACATGAGTTGATCAGACAGTTTTATGTTTTGATAATTGCAACTCAGAAGCCTACTTACAGCCAATACAACGTTTCTACCTATTTTCATACTTAAAGCTTGTTTTTTTCCGCTATTAATTTCAGTATTTAAGAATACCATAATACATTCTGTTAAAACCATTTATCAATAAATACTTCAAAATTCTTTAGACTTTGACATTATATAGAATGTACTTGACCATAGGATTATGGTTAATGCACGAGATAAATTCTAAAATGTTCATTACTGCTTACAAATATTATTCTGAACAAGAGCTTGGCAGAAAATAAATAAACTTATAGCTTAGAAGTGTGTGACTGAACTTACGGCTGAACATGTGACAATGCGGTTCGTGTTGGGTGCCCAGTCAATGCTGGTTATTCGAAGATCGTGTTGTGTCAACACATCTTTTAGTAACCACTTGCTTCCGTCTCTTTCAAAAATGTGTACTTCGTTGTTGTTAGGGGATAGTGCTAACTCTGCTCACAAAAAAAAGTTTCAAATTTAAATGCACATTTATCTTTAAATGCAACTAGATAAGATTTTCTGTATCATAGTTATCACCACATTTATGGCTCAAGTATAGATATTCAAGACTCGATGGCCTATCTCTTCACTGAAAAGTTCAAAGTACTTATTTAATTCCTTAGTTTATACAAGCACTAGAAACTTTTGTGACACAGAAAAAGTTCAGTTTCTCTTTGCTGCCCACAGGTTGTACATTTATAAATACATGATACAGCTGTCACCTAATTAAATTTAAGACCTTTTAAGACCAGTTCTTGGAAAATGCAAAGACCTATTATTACAGCAAATTGACCAAAAGATAAAAATGTTGATAAAATAGAATGATTCAAATACTATTTTTAAGATATTTTTTCAACTTTTAATGGACTTACAATGAATACCAATGTGCTTAACAATCACGTGTTTCTCATCTACTAACATGAAATGTTCTATTACTATTATATATGCATGTCCACTGAGAGTGTAAACATTTCATTTTGGTTTGTAACTGACTTAAGACTTTTTAAGACCCTTAGCAATGTATTTAAGATTTTAAAGAAGTAGAAAATACCAAAACTGGCACATGAAATACAGAAAATCCCCACTCCTATGGGCCCAAGCTCCGAATCCAGTAATGATTGAAAACCCCATAGCAAATGTAACAATACAGTAGTTTATGTGTATCAGCATGTGTACCAAGGACTAAGGTATAAAAGATTATATCTACTAAAAGATCAAGGCCATCACATATACAAAAGTCATAAGTTAACTATGGAATTGTATTTTCTTTGTGTTTGTGTGCTGAATTTATCCCTCAAATTGGTCCTACTTTTATTGGAGGGCAGTGTATTTTAGGTTCAAAGCAATTAAATATTTTCGTCTATGCTATTTTCTAGCAGTTCATTCATGCAATCGTCTAGTAATACTTAATAATATACTCACGAGTTCTGTCCTTGTTCCATGCATGACAGGTTATAGGCTCTACACTAAAACTGTGAATTTCCATCATCAGGGCTTGTGACCAATAGCAAGTGCTAATGATGCTTTAATATGCAGAATACAATTCTTCAGAAATAATGTTGTGATCTAAAATAGTATAGATCATACTTTTATTACATGCAAAGATATTCTAACACATATTCATGAGTCATTATACTTACTTAAATATGCTATACACAATCTTCCAATTTATCAAATGTTATCAGTTACATTATAATTTCTAAAAGACTTTGGCCTCAAACACCATCAAAGAATATTAGGAAAGCAAGATTTTAAGGCTTTTTTTTTATTTAATCGAGTATCTGCAAGTTAAGTATACTGACAGTCTTGTATGTTATAAAGCACAATGATGACTGAAATTCAAATTCATTTACTTCAAGATATTAGAAAGTACATGAATTGGATCAGGGTATTATTGACAAAGTTTCTTGTTTTACTAGTTGAACATAGATGTTTTACAAAATGCACAGTAAACAATTACCATTAACAAAATTTTAAAACAAATTTTAATATTTATGTAAATTAGATTATTACACTGATACATATTTTTGATGTTTTATAGGATGATGGATGAATCTTTTTTTTTAATTTGGTAATAATCTAATAGTAACATTTCAGTTTTGTAGTTCATTTAACATATTCAAACATACATTTATCATTTCATACACTGCTAGTAAGTTAAGTCTCTTATGAACAACACTAGTACCATAGCCTAAACTTTGGTCATAGTATTAAAATATTTGTTCAATATTTTTGAAGTGTGTCACTCATCCAGAAGTCTCTGGAAAATTGTTTAAAATGATTCATATAAGTTTAAAAATATTACACCAAGAATCAGTTGGCCAACGCTAACATAACCTTTAGGAGCCAAAATGATGTCACTGAGATTGCTGGAATATCAACTCATCCTTCTGCTGCTGGGCTTCAAATTATTGCTAGAGAAAAAGTTTAAAATACAATTAATATATTTTGCTAAAAGGAGGAAAAAAAAATGTAAAAATCTCAATAAAGATGAACTGCTAAGTTCACCTAGTTTTGTTATTAATATCTACTTTTGCTCAAAGCAAGTTACCCACATTGATAAGCTTAATAGATTAGTTACTTAGCAGCGACTGATAAACAAAGAAATTGTTTACAACCCGTACATGGCTTTTGTTACAGGTATTACACCTTTGAAGATTTGTAAAAATACATAAAAAATTATTGAAATGTGACTTTAAAATCTCAGTTTTATATGATATTCTGATGGATTTGTAAACTAATGTTCAAATATCTGTTATACCAGCAACTTTGAGAATTCTTAACTTGTGTTCGCACCACATTTTATTGAAGCACTAGTCTTTATCATTCTGTGTTATTAATCTAAACCATTATTTAACAAATATTTGTGTCTGTCCAATTGTAACTGTCACCCCTTATCTTCCCCATGTGTTGAACAGGTAAGTCAACTAGTATACATTTTTACTGATATACAGTTATTTTACTTATTAATATTTTCAGAGGGAGCAATCCTTGACATTAGTGACAGTGTTCGGTAAACCCATGGAATTTCACGATAAACTTCAAGTGTGGTGGCAACAAAATAACTTATTATTTTCTTAATTTGTTTCTGTGAATAATTTCAAGGATTAATGTTTTAAAGAAAAATTAAATTGCTAATAGATAATTAGAATATTTAATGACACAAACACCTCAACTTGTTCAGTTTACAATATCATTTACTGGATTGCTTTAACAAGTGATCTCAGAAGCCGCACACGATTTTTTTTCCATATATGCGTCATTTTACGAGGAAAGGCCCCAAAAAAACCATACAGGTAGGTAAACATCACAAATATAATTTCCATTAATAAGTTCTAAAGTATATTTTAATATTTTACATGGATCATTGGAAATATTGATTACTTACTATTTAGTAGATTTTACACTGTATTAGTTGAATTAATAAAACATTTTAATTGAATGTGCTTCAAAACCAGAACTAACACACACATATGCACTGTCACACAGCATTTAGTTTTACCTTGAAATATTGTGTGTTTTAATATTGGAAGAGAGAGTGAAATTATTTTAAATTTACTATATATTTGACAAAGAGTATTAGATTCTTCTTTGCTAGCATTAAACAATAACATATTCTCTCTTTATATATATATATACGAGTATTATTTGCTTTTGCCTTTCTCTGAAAGTTGAATATCACACGTGGAAAATGTGAGAAAGTTTATGACTCGGGTTTAACTTGGAAAGCTGCCTATAGTTTTATAATTTCACCACAAATATTTAATCAATATAAAACTTAATCTAAGTTATAACCTTGTTTTGTTCATTGTTCATGTAATAATGCCTCTTTAAGTGGAAGAATATTTTCAGAATAGATGAAAGCATATATCCTGGTGTTGTCTTGATTATTGCATTTATGGCAGCATTTTTTTTTCCAGTGGACTTGATTTCCTAATTGAGGTATTTTCAACCTATACGATACCTTATGTTACACAAGGGGTGAATAGTCACATTAACGACCCATATATACTTTCTGATAAATTTTCCGGTAAGGAAATTCATTATGCTGTTTAAGGTTTGGCAAAAATGGTGATTCATTTGTTAATTTCTTTTCTTCATCAAAATGTGAACTTCATTAAAGACAGAGTAGAGATCTAATATATTCTTTGATTCACTACTCCCTCTGCAACAGACTAGTTTCACCGAATTAACGACCCATCAGTGTTCCTTGAAAGAGCAAAACAAGTAAGTGAAGTAAGCCTCATATAGTGATAAAATGTTAGTAATTTGTCTGATTTAGATGTATAGTAATTTATTCACCATTAACAACCTAAAATAGTTTAGGTGTTTGGATAATATGCAACATGCCATCACAATTAATCATCTGTTATTATTGAGTGAACAGATAAAAACCCAGTAAGTTACTTGCCCAACTAAAACAGCTAAAAAGACTAAGAAAATTTCAAGATCCATGATTTGACCCAAATTTTCAAAACTATCAGATTGTTCTCTGCAGGAGCTTGGTTTAGTCACTTTTCCATGAAACCATAAATTGATTCTCCCACTACGTTATTCACTCTACACTGAAATAAATATATTATAATCTGCTCTATTTAATACTATTTAAACTTTGTCTGTAGTCGTTTTCAAAGCTGAGCTTCTTTATTAGTTGTTCAGATCACAATCTGTGAGATCATAAAAATAGTGAAAATAAAAGCACCAATAAAATAGCTGAAAAATAAAAACATGGATAATTATATTTTTAAGATATGAATACTTTCCTAGCAAATGTAAACATATACCTTGGGATGATGAGAAAAATTCTAAAAACAATGATAAATGTGTTGTTGTTTACAGGTAAAAACCCCAAGGAACTGGCAAATGTAAATATATACTTTGGGATGGTGAGAAAAATTCTAAAAACAATGATAAATGTGTTGTTGTTTACAGGTAAAAACCCCAAGGAACTGGCAAATGTAAATATATACTTTGGGATGGTGAGAAAAATTCTAAAAACAATGATAAATGTGTTGTTGTTTACAGGTAAAAATCCCAAGGAACTGGCCAATGTAAATATATACTTTGGGAATGGTGAGAAAAATTCTAAAAAATTATTTGTAAAGACCCCAAGGAAATGAGCAGAAATTAAAGCTTTTTTAATTTTTTCTTTATAAATTGTATGAAATAAACATTGCAGAATGGAAAACTATATATTATAAAATATTCTTGAGTTGAAAACTGAAATTATCATTTTTTATTGAAATTTGATATGTGAGACAATAGGTGTCAAATCAAACCCAGAAAAGTGCTCTGTGGTCCAGAAAGAGTTAGAACTGCCAAAAGTGTAGAAGAAAATCTATACATGAAATAGTCCCATTCTTGGGCACACACAATCAAGTATGAGACTCATCAGTATTGGAATCATGATGGTACAATGATAAGAAAATGTTCATGAGGAAATACTGTCACAATGAGACAAATATTTACTAGTTAAATTGTACAAATGTGCCAGAAACCATCTTTGCAATTTAAAGTTGCATTGATTTTACAGCATAAAATGGGCCACATGGAAACAGTTGCCATCTCTCATTTGAATGTGGATACTCTGGAAGTAAAATTTCCATTACTCATAAGAACGTGTTGACACTAGTGTTCCCTCTAATCTGTGCAGTTGCACACTTAATTATTCCAGCCGTGTACATCCTCAACATGTTGACGGCCTTAATTATCCTGGCAGTTCATAGGCTTAAAGCCCAAATAACCAACTGGTAGCATTGCAAAGCAGCCTAATGATTCAATAGGATTGATAGTCTAAAAATAACACACCCCACCCAAAAAAAAAGATGGTAGTGCACATTGCATTGATACTGGTCCACATAAAAAAATTCATTCCCCACATGGATTGAAAAAACTAAAGGGAACATTGTTTAACACAATTAGTTAAGGTAAAGCTCATCAATACTGGACTACTGGTGGTAGTTGTAAAGTTCAAAAATTTATGAGAGCCTATTCTTTGAGTTTTCAATTAAAAGCCAAACATGTTTTGGTGACGGTAAACAAATAAATTGACCAAGACTGTGTTGTGCTAACCGTGGGAGACTGTGGTGGGAATCAGCAGCAAAATGTCTAAAATTTTCACAGTTTGCACCAGATTACTTAAGGCATGGATAAAGAAAGTTATGTATGATCCAGAGCTGTTATGTTAATTTGTAAAATCAATTTGCATAGTATCCTTATTAAAGATTCTATGAAAAGTAGCAAAATTGTCAATGTTATACATAAAATTTAATTGAAAACTATCTTGTGAAACTTATTTCAATCAAGTGTAACATGTATGGCTGACCTCACTAAAGCAAGTCTCCCCAATGGCCAACCTACAAAAGGGGGTGGGTGGGAAGCTTTTGAAGAGAACAAACCATATATAACTGGTTCTTACAAGTAGAAAGATAACTTATGAGAATTTAGCATAGAACTTGAGGGAAGTCAGAGATAATAGATATACTTTTAAACCTCTATGGTGTGATAAATACTTAAGACTTGTGTAGAGTATGTACAGTTCTGATAAAAAAGCTATTTAAATCCCGTGACAAACTATAGGAAAAGTTATGATTCAAGAGTAACTAATTGTTTATTTATTTCAAAACACTAAAATGGACAAAAAAATTAATTAAGCATATGAATCTTATTGACTGACAACAATATGACTATTATAATTAGATGCATAACTATATATCAACAATACAAACATAATCACTATGTGCAATAAGATTAGAAGATTCAATGTTTGGAAAACACAGGCACAGCTTTACTTAAATGTAGTATTATTTTTCTAATAGAATAGTCTGGCTGTGGAATAGTTTTCCTTGAGGCTTGGTAAAAACTGCAACAATGAAAGCCATATGAGGAGATTAGAGATAAGGGTTAGTAATTTGAAAAAGGTTAGTAGTATTAGTAGAAAATGGGATAGTCTAGAGTAGTAATAGTTTTATTTTCATTTTCAAATTAAATGGAAATTTTTTTATGACATATAACAGATACTGTACTGTACTATTACAAATGAACAATAATATTAATATAGTAGCAATTATCGAAATTGTGGCATAGATACAGCCAGACTGTAAAACATTTCATATTACATTAACAACAACATTAGTCCATCATACTCAATAGAATTAATACTATAATATGTGTATACATATAAATTATATTAAAATATAATATCACTATGGCAGTAGCCTAGGCAGTACACTGTACAGGATTACGATAGGTTTAGTCAAAGATATATATTATTTGTATTTCTTTCATTAACCTGTACATTATAACACAAGTCACTTGACTATCATCTCAATCATGCATATATTCTTACCTTTTCGAATTGTAAAGGATAATTTTCACTTTCCTAAATAAATTACAGTCTTATTTGTAAATTCTGTCAGCAACCATCGCCAACCGGAAGTACCAGTGTGATACGAAAAACAGCCTCTCTTCCACCGATTTATATATTAAATCATACAAATTTATTGATAAACTTAATCTTCAATGATAAAAAATATTGATAACTTAAAGATATTATTTTAAATATTTTAAGCCATTTTATTTATTATGTGGAATGAAAATGGCAAGTTTTGGTACAATTCAATTAATTTATTTACGTATTCAAACCAAAGTCTGAAGCATACGCATTTTATAAATCAACATAAAAATATATTTCATCAGTATGAATTGCAAGTATGTGCAAAATTAGTATAATTTTTGAATTGCTGCAGACGTATAGAGGTTTATGATCTATTTGATAGAATTAACTACTCTAGCTTGAATTTTATTCTGATAAGTAATCGATTACGTTTTATGTATAATAAAATAAGATTTAAGAGTCTTGTAGTACAAGATGCTAATATATGCGTGTTACACAGTTTATATATATCAGGCTCATACGCAGAATGTTTGAAAGGAGAGTTCAAATTCGTGTAATCAAAAGCCAACAGATTGTGCGAAGCACAATCAGCAACCAAGTACTACGGGGCCTGGAACAGGCGATTATTTTAAGCCAAAAAATACTAATGCTTCATCAGAAGAATGTTGACTATGTAGAAAACGTTAAATACCATAAGTAGCTGCGCTACAACTATATAAGTATAATTTTTTAGATTACAAAAATAGGGGGTTCGGGCGAAAGTCCTCCCGCGTACATGCCTGTGTGTTGCGAATTATTCTTTCATCTCAGTTTGGAAACACAGAGAGTTGCTCAAGTAAGAAATATAACTTCTCCTTACTTTAGCAGCAAACAGGATCTAATTGTTTATTAAACCCGTTCTCTTGTATGAATAATAAATGTAATTTCATACATTATGTCCCAGAATAGACAGCTGTCTTTTCTATCGGTGAATTGTGTAATTGTGTAATAAGTTAACGTTCGTTCGTTATAGTGTTTGTTTTAGCGCGAATATTGAAATTAAGTGTATCGTAAAGTTATATTCGAAAAGAATAAACAAGTTTTATTAAGTAAGGACTTGTGTCGCTAAAGTTTCGTCGGAACGAAGTTACGGAAAGTTAATTAACAAACGGAGACGTAACAATACTCTGGAATTCTATATTCGTTGGACCTTTTATTTATTTGATAATGCTCATTTACACTGCTGGAAATCCGTGCACTGGAGAATACCACAATGTTTCCCAATAATTAGAAGCTAATCCACTTATCACATTTATATAAATACCGAGGATGCACGAAGTACCAATGCACACAAATTAAACATTTCTTACTAAATTGTGCAAAATATCTGGAATGATGGTCCTTTTGTTATAAGTTATGTAGTCCCTAGTCATGGTCTCCTGAATAAAAATATATATTCAGTATGATAGGTACAAAATTAATTTAGAATAATGATAGTAATTTAAATAATTATTATATAAATAAACTACTGGGTTTATTTATAGAAGCAGTGGACAATAAATCAATGTCTTAAACATACTGGTGCATGTAATCTAAAATTTTAATAATCCTCTTACAATACTCTAAATTTATTCAGCCTAAATAGAAGATATAAACTGAAAAAACTGTGGAAAACATTTGCACTCTTACAACTTCCTAAAAATCCAATATGAAGACTTTTTTCACAATTTTCGAGAAAATTTTCCAGCAGATCTGAAAGTTTTAATAATACTAAACCTTTCTGTTATATAGCGTGCAGTAGATATCTGTTGAGGATATGTCTTATGAAGAAGAAGAAAAAAAATATGATGCCTCCCCTGAATTTTTTTATACTAAATTCAGTTTCTTTGTTGAAACTTGGTTCTTTCTATTAGCATCTCTTTGTCTTACATTGCTAATAAACATATGCTCTCATTATTTTTTAATGTTCAGGTCAAACTGATTTTCCTTAGAACGAAGGGATAGGCCTGTATAATAACAAAAAATTTAACAAGATATTTATTACGAAGTAATATTGTGTTTCTCTAACTACCTGAGTACATGAGATCGAAGTAAATAGTCTGGACACAATGTAAAATACAAAACCACAATATTTATTATAATGTAATACAAAAACAATGTGTTTATTTGCTTTGCACGATGGACTGTTGCTTATACCGGATTGAAACTATTCTTTCGAAGCTGATCTGGCCGAGATCATATACCAGAATGTTTAAATTAAACGTTTACCCAGCTCTATTCATGTGAGTGGACATTTTCATTCTTCAGACATAGGGAAGGCTGTAACATCGAGTTCGCCGCTATTTATATATTTATCACAGAAGCCTCTAGAAATGTCTACAGCCTCAACATCAATGAATTGCAAACACAACGTACAACTCTTGCCGAATTACATAACCAAGCTTGTCATAACTATCGCCTTTAGAATAATTGCTTTTAATTATCTTGTTATGAAAAACTAAACAATCATGAAATATTAACTCACAAAATAAATTAAATAATAATGTCTACACTAAACACTTTGTATATACAACAGTGATGTATCCTCAAATGGCGTAAGAATTTCTACCAAAGTAATGAAATATCTGGGAAAGTATTTTTTTTCGAAGTGTTATATATATATAAACATGCATTTTCTGCCTTCTTATATTAATAGCGTATTATTCTAAATTTATCAGTTATTTCTGAGTATATGCAGTTTTCTATGAAATGTGGCCAAGAAAGTCGTTGTTTTGATGTTGTTCTAGCTGTCTTTGTTCTATGTCATACTATCGAGGTCATACCTGTTTTGCCCATGGAGGGAATAGATGTACTACTGCACATTGTACAAGAATGTTGATAGCGTTATCATTCAACGGTAGGTCAGATAGTAGGTCACTAAACGAGCGGGAGCAGAGAAAAAGTTAAGTCAAGTGAAAGAGAAGTTCAGTCCGAGAAAAGTTAGAAAACGTGAAGTTGGCCATCGTGGGAATAAATAGCCTTAATGGTTGATATTTTAAAGTGAGATTAACAGTCTGATAGAGATAAGGAGAATAATTTGTCTTGTCAAAGGGTGTTCTAAACTAACTGAACCAGCCTGTGTGGACTATGACGGAAAAAACAATTATTGGAAGTTCAGTATACAACTGAGGTAACCACGAGGCAACATTAGTGAATTATTCACCGATACTATTGTGATAAAAGTAGAGAAAAATAGGTTGGCTTGTCAACTGGATTCTAAAGCAATTGAATTAGCCTATGTAGACTTTTGACATGAAAAGAGAACTGTATAGGGTTTAAGACACAACAGTGATCCCCATAGTGTAAAAAACAAACAAAAATAACTGTACATACATTTATCTTGTTTTGAATATTTTATTTTAAAACAAGTGGAGTGCGTGCTGTTGGTTTATTGTTCGAATTCATTGCCAACAAGTCCAGACACCTAATGTAGAAGAATCCTCCGCCCACACTCACACATATACATATATAAAAATTCTGACAACCACATAATACAACACAGTGATTTCATAAATTAGTTGTTTTTCTCAATGAAATCAGAAATATATGGCCAAAAGTTAGTCATAGAATAAAAAAGTAAACATTGTTAAACAGCAGCCTTCCCACTTCGGCCTGACACAGCAAGAATAAAAGAAATATTAATGTTCTCCTCAAGCTTACTGTTGAGTCATCAGAAGAGCTAAAAGGGTGGTAATTTTCAGTTTATATAACATAAATAATAACAGAGCAAAAAATTTAAGGACATGTTGCTTCATCTTGGCTTTTCATACACTAAACTAAACTTCCAGATAAAAATTTAATACTCAAAGCCAGTCCTTATCATTCAAAAATGTATTAATTTTCCCTTGAACTCCCTTAAATTTACTGCATTAATCACATCTCAAGGAAACCCATTATATAAACAACATGCCATAGATGAAGATGACTCCTACCCTACCGAAAGTTATATTTGTGTCCCCTAGTCCTACTATTCTCACCATTAATTAGGAAAAAGAGATGATGTATCACCAATATCAATTCTCTTAACAATCTCAAATATCTCAATCAGATGTCCTCTAATTCTTCTTTTTTTCAAGATAAAACAATTTCAGAGGTCTTAACCAGTTCTTGTTTGACAACTTTCAATCCCAGGTATTATTTTAATAGCCATCCTTTGAACTCTTTCCAACAATTCAATGTCCTTCAAAAGGCAGGGATCTCAAGACTGAACACAATATTCCAAATACAGTCTAACTAGTAACACACGCAATGAAATTATAACTGCTGAGAATGCCGCTGAGCCACTGGGGGGCAATGGCCTAGGAACACCAAGATCCTTTTCTTCCTTAACACTGTCAAGGCTATTCAAATTTTGATATCCCACTCTTATTATCTTGCATGTGTTATAACTAAAAGCTATCTGCCGTTTATTCGCCAAGTTCATCAAATAATCTAATTTTTGCTATCTGTAGTGCTCCGACCATCAATTTGCAAACTCTGAAATGACAACATAGTTGCTACATGACTTGACACTACTTGATTTTTGGAAACTTTAATCAAAAGCTCTGGTGGGGAAATTAAGCTATTCTTAAAAGTTTTCATACACATTTGTGTTTGAAAGACGGCCCTTCAGAGCAGCTATATATAAAACAGGAGGTCATTTGTCAACGTAAAGCATAAGTTCCAGGCTGAACAGTGAAATAATTAAAGATAGCTACTTATATACTGTAGAAAATATCCACAATAATAAGCCTGTTTGTTGTTGACTTGTTTGTTTATTTGACAAGTTTACCTCCCTCTGGTCTCTTACACATTCTCCTTTGCTTTCACTCATGGGTTTTCAAAATTGCTAATATCGTTTTCTCACGTTTATGATGTGAACGTTTGACCTACTCAGGGAACAAGAAGACTAACTTACTGTTTCGCCAGTTCCAGTGAATGACAATAAAATTAATTCAAATAATAAATAAATGATTAGTTATAAAAATCATAAATGAAAAAATAATATTGTGTTGTTGATTATTACTTTAAAAGGCTGAGTTGTAAATGACCTAATTAAAATTGAATATGATTGCAATTCACTTACATTATTTGTTTCATACTTAGTTGTGATGCATGAAAATTGATGATGTACATGGTACCTAGACCACAACTATGTCTATTGTATCCGACATGGTGGACCCTATAAGTATTATTGGGTGAAATACCTTGTCAGTACGGGATTTGGCAGATATAGTGTGGATGATAAATTATAACATATCCATATTTTCTTTCGCTCATGGGTTTTAAGAATTACCGTTAACCCACCGGTGGACCTCTTGAATTCTAACGACAATTTTTTTGTTTTCTTTTCAATATGGGTTTTATGTTACTTCTTTGAATATTAACTAACAAATATTTTGGGTCTAATTACTACAGATTATCATTTCACAGTTTTAATGGTAAAGGTTTGCAAAAACCAGCGTTGGAAAAAAAAATCACATACAAGCGGCTGAAGTCTTGAAACTTGGGTCTGCACGAATAATTAAAAGTGAGAGCGAAACCTTAACAGTTTTATAATTCAGCCGACAGGTGACCAACTGATGGGAATAACAACAGAAGTTGAGGTGTACGTTGAGTAACGTAATCACTGATTATCCACTGGTAAACCTACACGTTGCATTAAGTTTGTACTTTCGTTGTTCAAATGATATAGTCAATAATATAACGAAGTTTATATTATAATTGCTGTGATAAAGATTATTTTATAAGCTATTTTACACAGTAATTGTATTGCACTACACTGTTGTGTTTGTCTCGTACTCGTATTGGGATATGTGGATCTTAGATCACTAGATTATACATAGTAGATGTTTTAATTTTACTTTTTATTTAAATTTCGTTTTACCCTGTTTAGGACTCCCAATTTATAATTAAAGTTAAACAAAGTACTTTTTATTTTAAGAAATTGATGCCAAGGGCTTAAATCTCTTTTCTACTTGTAACTGTAAGTTGTAAAAAGACGTATGTTTTGGAATATAATTATTATTATTAATAATAGTAATAGTAATATTAGTACAGCAAATGTACTACATTCTAAAACTCGGATGAATTGGGAAACTAAAGTTTAATATACTCTGTGTAATCATATATTAAGTGACAAAGTATATTTGTTTTCGTGATGAGTAATAATAGTATTAATTGTAGTGTAGTTTGAGTCTTATTCATAACACAAGTTGTATTTATTACTTTTTGGTTTGTTACCTTAAAAGCACATTAATTTAAAGTGTTACTGGTTTAAACTGCTGCATGTCATTTATTTGTGTGAAAATTTATTTCTGCTTGGGTTTTACTGAAGGAAGTTTACCTCAAACAGATTCAGAGAAAGATGAAATTGATACCAAATCTTTTGTTCTTCACTTTACTGTATTTAACACCATTTACTGTAAAAAGCAAGGAATCTGAAGATAAAGAAGTTCCTGTAGAAGAAGAGCTTTATGGAGTGAAATATCCAAATAGCTGTGAAGGTATTTTAGTATTTTTGCATCTACATGTTTAAAAGAGACAAAAAAAAGTCTAACTGGTAATGAAGCTGTGCTTACTTCTAAAATTTAATTTTTGAAAAATATATAAATAGATACAGCAAAGATTATTATCAGAAAGAATTTTTATGTCTTCCAAATGCATTTTTGTAGAATTTTAAGAAGGTATCTTCTACAATTACTTCCATAATAAAATTAGTTTTTTTTATGACAATTGTATTTATAGCATATGTGAAGTAGAACTTGAAGCTAAGTGTGAATGAAAATATAATGCATAAGAAAATATCAACATTCTACTTGTATTTGCAAAAAAAAAATAAATAAATTGATATAATTACTTATAATAATGATTTCTTTGAAATATAGTTAATTTAAGAATTGTCCAGTAGTTTCAAGTATTAAAAAAGTACAGGTGACTTGATTCAGATGCTTAAAACTGTTAGATGTTTGGGTGTTTTTTTTTATTGGCGAAAGGGTCATTTGCAGAGTGGTGCAGCTATGGAAATTCTCCATAGGCATTAAAATCTATTTTGTATTTTAAATTTTTATATTTAATATAAATAAGTGAGCTTGCAATTTTCAAATCCCTCAAGTTTGTTTACACCATTAAAATTAAATCCAACATCAGTTCAGTGTCATGTGGCCTTTTTCTGTTTCACTTTCTCTTGTCCCTGTCAAGAGGTCACACATGTGGTTCATCTGCCATGTCATTGGTTCCATAAATGATCCAGTATTTTTTATAGCCAATTATTTCCTTAGTTATTGACTTTGAATCATCCCACCTCCCCTTGAAGCCTCAGTAATGAGTCATCTCTTTATAAATGCATTTCCTAGTCTTCTTTGGTATGCTTTGAAATTCTTCAAACTTGTCCAGGTCACAAAATAGTCTGTCTGATTTTTTTGATTTATTTTCTTTCTTCATTTCAATTTTCTTTATTGGGCAGTCGATTGAAATTGAGTTTGTACAAGTATAAAAGTGGTAGGGTAAAGGAAAAAGAGAAAACGTAAGTAATCAAGAACAGCATAAATGAGTTATTAAAAGCATTTTTAGATATTTATTTTTGTAGTTTTATGTTTACAATACGGTTGATGTTTTTTTGTAATGTCCGTATAACTTTTATGTAGGCTTGGTCGGAAGAGCAGGCCTCCCCCAAGAACTTTTGCATAGATATGTACTGGTGTTTATTTAGGTAATGGAATGAGAAAGGTTATGAATGAAAACTTGAATATCAAGTGTAATACATTTTAAGTTTTGTTAGAGATATAAACTTGTTGAATGATTTTACTGACGATTGTTTGGATTATTTTAACCATTTCACTGCCATGGATACACGTCTCTATGTGGAGCACAACCTTGAGTACATATGTGGAACACAATACATGACTTTTGCTTTAGCCTTGAAAAGTGTGATGTTAACTGTTTGTAAGTTTGGAATGTACCACCTTAAAGAAAGGTTTTTCTCCTTCAAACTTCCCAAAGTTTACCAGTTTTAAGTCTCAGATAAGTAATAATATACTAAAACATGCTCATTTTTGTTTTTCTAAATATATACTTGCACTAAACAAGTTAAAAGGTTTATAGTATAGCATATTGGTTTTAACATTATGGTTGGTTGTTTTAGTAGGCTAAAAATCTTATTTCTCTCATCTTTCTTTTTTATGCTCTTGTGTTCTAAGATCAATTATAAAATCAAGAACAATGGTTAGTTTATAGATTAATCATACAAAGTTCGTACTATATATAACTTCCCTCTTTGCCTTTATCATACATGTTACCTTGGAAACTTTGTTAACATTTATAAGGTTTGACAGCTTGTGTAAAAACTGTTTACATTCAGTAAGGATAACTAATTTTTAAGGATTTATTTTATATCTTCACCAATTAAAATGAAAATGGCACATTATTATTGTAGTTACTTTGCATCATATATTATGAAATTATGTAGTAATATATTTGAATATTACAGATGAAGAGTTGAAATGGTTTTATAATCTAATAGTAGAAGTTAGAATATAATTCTACTAAATATTTTGTTTTCCAGTGTGCAAATATTTAGTTGTGGAACTGGAAAATCGTTTGAAAGAAACTGGAAAGTCACATGATGTCATTGAAATAGGTTATGAGCTAGATGATTCTGCAAGAAAGAAAACTAAATACAAAACATCGTGAGTATCCGCTCATGTGTTACTGATCAGAAGTTCTTTGTATAGCTTAGTTTTACATTTGTTATATTTTTGACCTAGAGAGAGGGGTGTTGTTTCTATTTTCATCTGTATACTTTTATGATTACGTGTTTTCAGTAATGAGGAAAATAGCTAGTTTGATAAAAGTATAAATAAGTGAAGATACTGCTCTTTGAATAGAAATATAGTGGTTTTTGTCTGAAAACTATTTTAAAGGACATTTGTTTGAAACTTAATTTGTTTGGTTTTCTTTTTTCTCATCTTTAAAAATGTGCACACCAGCTTCATGTACATCTAACTGTTAACTTAATATTTAAATTACATTTTCTCATTCCAGAACATTTTAATTTGGGAGTAGTATATTAAAGTTCTGAGTTGTTATAAAACAATTAAAAGACGGTGTCCAAAAGGCTCTATATCACATCGTTCATTAAACAGGTCATTTTATTTTTCCACTCCTTGTACGTTAAAGATGTGTAATATATACTTTTGTGTCAAAAGAAATCAATTTCTACTGCTGTATCGATGGTTATAATTTTCACAGACGTAACTGTTTGAATTATGGAACATTCATGTAACTAATAGTCATGTTGGTATAAAACTTTTTCTTATTACATATTAATAGTAAAATTTGATATCCGTGTTTATTGCATTTGCACAATAGTTTTTTTTAAATAAGTGTCTACAGTTCAGATTGCTGCTGGTACACAAAGGAAACAGACATTTTGTACTGTATTTAAAAACACCTCTTTGTGAATGTTATAAAACACAATTAAAGAGGAGGATGCTACTCATAACACACTAAGTTTTCAAGAACTTGAATGAAGTGTATTATAATCATAAACATGGGAAAACTTTTTTATTTTTACTTTTTTAATGGAATTATTCTTAATTTATCAACATTTAAACAAAACTGTTACTTATTTCTGTAAGAAAGTAATTTTAATGAAGAATAGGTGAATGATTACACAATGTAAATGTGTTATACAGTTAAATGGAATGCTTGTTTCAGTGTAAGCACTGATATAAATTGTCTAAATGTGTTATACAGTCAAATGGAATGCTTTTATATCAGTGCTTACACTGAAACATTGTCTTGTTTAACATTGTCTAAATGTGTTATACAGTCAAATGGAATGCTTTTATATCAGTGCTTACATTGAAACATTGTCTTGTTTAACATTGTCTAAATGTGTTATACAGTCAAATGGAATGCTTTTATATCAGTGCTTACACTGAAACATTGTCTTGTTTAACATTGTCTAAATGTGTTATACAGTCAAATGGAATGCTATTATATCAGTACTTACATTGAAACATTGTCTTGTTTCGGTTTGACTGCAGTTCTCGTTACTGCTTACAAGTCTTTATGGTTGGTTAATTCTTTGAGCTTTTAATTCATTTTCATAATAAAAATAGTAGAAAGTGATTAAGTGATCCAAAAAATTTTACATGTACATATAATTAAGGCCATTGTAAAATGTAATTGGTTCATTGCTTAGTTCAGTGTGTATTAGCTGATATATAATCTCTTATCTTCAGATAACATATTTGTAAATTAATGATGAAACATTTAATTAGTAAATGTCTTCTTTCATCTTGTTCTGATGTTTGTGTGTTTAATTTTTTTAATGTTAAAGATTTTAAATTTAGATCGAGTGATTTTTATAACACTTCTGAAAATCTTTTGTGTTCACGAAAATTCAAAGTTGTTAGAATAGTATGTTAAGTTTGCTTTTTTTACTATGGCAGAATCATTTATTCCCCGTGCACAACTATTATTTACTGTCAATTTTTCTATAATGTTGGGTTTTTTCTTCAAAAGTTTCAAAACCCTAAAACAGTTTGCTTATGATTTTACACTAGAATCCTTTATTTTCTGATGTAATATTCATTAATCTTTTAGTAACACTCAAAAATTGCTCGTACAAAGTGTTCAGGCCTACTGCTCTGAATTACGTGATTTATTTATCTTAACATGTGTATATGCAGGGCACAATTTACAGGCATCTTGTGTTCTAAACGTATTTGGTATAAGTCTTGGAGCTTCTCAAACATTCACAGTTCTGATACGTGTGAAAACAGAGGAGAATCTTTTTTTATTATTGTTATTACAGTTAAACAGTGATATACAACTGCAAAAGTAAAGTGGTGAATATCAGAGAATCCATAGGATTTATTACAAAACGTGTGAAAGTAAATTATCATGCTGAAGTATGCCACCAGTCGACAGAGAGATTTCTGGCAATACACGATATGATTGAAAAAGGTGTGTTTTGAAATATAGCTATTGTATATAGTAATATAGTAATGGTTTCATAATGTATTAGAAAAGTAGTTTAAAGAGTTAATATTGTACAAAGCTGTCAGTGAAATTTTTGTATCTGAACTAAAAGTTCCTCTGTTGGAAGAAGGATAGAAACCTCTGGTCTGCACAACACATGACCATTAGAAAGTTTTCTAATGTTTTCTTGGGATGCATTTTGTGCATATATAAGGGATATAGGGAAGAAAGGTTAGTACATGCTGTAGATTCTATGTCACAGCACAATAAAAGGGATTAATAGCTGATTTCTGGTATGGATAGTAAAGACTTTTACCATAGAAATTTAAATAGTATAGTGTTTTCCAACTTGTCATCTTACAGTTGATATTTACTGTTGAATTTGCATGAACCTTCTAACAAATTCAACATATACGACATTATATATTTTAAAATGCTAGTTGAAGGGCTTCAGTATTATTGAACTAATGTATGTATTGTTGCAACCAAACATATTTCTTTTATATGTTTTTCTTGTTATTCAGAGAGTTAAGACTTCTTGACTCGCTTGATGGGATCTGTGATAAACTTCTGGATTACAACATTCACAAGGAGAGGGAAGATAGCACCCGTTTTGCCAAAGGAATGAGTACTACTTTCAAAGTGTTGCACGATCTTGTGTAAGTGTAGTAGTATAAATTATAATGACTTCCTTCTTAAAGCTTAAAGACTGTATAACACATGTTAAAGTTTTTATTTCTGGCATGGCTGTATTGCACAGAGATGTGAAAAGTGAGCTTGAGCAAGATTTGAAACTATAACCTGTTATCCGTATAATGCTGTATGCACAACACTGCAAAGATAATAATATAAGCACATAGAAACAATGAAATTAACTTGTCATGGAGGTGGATAACATTTTGCATTGCAAGTGGAGTCTTTTTGTTTTTAAATAGTTGATGATTGTACCTACTTCAAAATTCTACCTAACAGACTTGCTATGTGAAATGTTGAAGTTTGTTTATTTTAATTTTAGTAGTACGTTTTATTAAGTATAATTCAGACATTTGAATCTGGCTGAAGTAACTAATGAATGTAGAGATAGAAACCCCTGTTTGGAAAATTACTATGAACATATGTTCTACTTACTAACTAAAACTTCCTCAATATCCTATACCTTTTGTGTTTTATGTTTTTATTCATTAATTAATATATCATGAAATACTGATAGAAATATACTTAGGAGTTTTTAAAATAAATATAATGGAGAAAGATTGATAACTGAGGTAAGTGATTTTTCTGAAGATTATCAGAAAATAGAGGAAGGTATGACAGGTTAACAACATAGGTCATCATCAGGTACCATAGGTCATCATCAGGTACCATAGGTCATTAAAATTCGATGACGAGGAACCCACTTTGAGACTAATAATGGCTGGAGACGACTTGAATGGGTAATGAAGAAAAACTTTAATATAGGTTTAACATAACAGCAAATGTACGATGTTTCGACAAGGTTTTGTCATTAAGTTTGAATATCTAACTGAGCTATCAGGTCTTGAATGCTTGAAGTCTCAGTTTTTGGTTTGTGTCATATATTAACTGTGATTCAGAATGTTTTATTATAATATGTACTGTGAATGAAATGTTTGTGAGATTGGTAGCCTGTCTAACGACGATAGGCTAATCCGTTGTAAGACTGATGTATAAACACCTATGTTTGACATGATTACTGACTTGTAAGTTAAAATGTTTAATTCGTTAGTTGTGTTTTTATAAAACATTCTATTTTAAATGAGTTGGAATAATTATTCTTCAATCTATAGTTCTATTTATACAAGATGACACAGCTGTGTTTTGGCAAAATGAATTTGAATTTCTACATAGATCTCCGTAGCCATTTTCGTAGGTACAATGGAAAAGGGTGAGGTTTTCTGAACATCGGATCACCTTGTGGTTGTTTTGATTTCATCACATGGGTGGATAGGGTAACCTGCACATAGATTTTTATGTTTTGTAAATTAACTCTTTATTTTCAATACATCAGGAATACCAGTCTATGACATATCTAGAACTGGTTAACTTGCTTACAGATTCTACATCTTTGTTGCACATGCTGTAATAAATTGTATTAGTTTTTGTCTCATAACACTATGGTGAAACTATTGCAATAAATAAATATATATACACACACACACACATGTATCTGCTACATGTAATAATTTAGTCGTTACAGTGATAAGTAGTTGAACTAATAGAATTTCTGTTGCGCCCAGTATATTTATCTTGGTTACCAGTATGGGTGTAGTACATAAACTAAAATATTTTTACACATCTGGTTTAGGTTAGTACCGTATTTTTGGGTGTATAAGATGCACTTTTTTAC